TTTTTTTTGGATGTGATTTTAAAAGAACTTTGATATTTCACAGTGTAAAAAACAAAACAGATTTCTGTATGTTAATCTTGTATCTTGCTACCTTGCTGAATTTATTAGTTCTAATAGTTTTTGTGTAGAGTCTTTGGGGTTCTCTATATAGAGTATCATGTCCTCTGCAAATAGTGACAGTTTCACCTCTTCCTTCCCAATTTAGATACCTTTTAATTTCTTTTAGTTGTCTGGTTACTGAGGCTAAGACTTCCAATACTATGTTGAATAGAAGTAGTGAGAATGGGCATCCTTGTCTTGTTCCTGAATTAGTCAGCAAGAAGGCTTTTAGCTTTTCACCACTGAATGCTATGTTGGCTGTAGGCTTGTCGTAAATGGTTTTTATTATGTTGAGGTGTGTTCCCTCTATACTCACTTTGGTGAGTTTTTATCATGAATGGATGCTGAATCTTACCAAATGATTTTTCTATGTCTACTGAAATTACCATGTGCTTTTTATCTTTGTCGATGTGGTGTATCACACTGATTGATTTGCTTATGTTGAACTATCTTTGCAACGTGGAATGAATCAAACAGGATCATGGTGTATGACCCCTCTCATGTACTGCTGAATTCAGATTGCTAATGTTTTTATTTTAAATATTACCATATTTTTCTTAGTCATATTTCCTCACTGTGGCAGCATAAACTATCTTCATGCACAGTGGGTGCTCTATTGACCAAAGTTGATGCAGAAAGGGCATCTTTTGGCGAAAATTTCTCAATGTGCTTGTATGGGCTGAGGGCAGCCCCGGCAGAATGCCTGTGGCCAAACTCTGAAGTGAATTCTGGTGCCCAGAACTGACCCACTATGGGCCAGGAGGCATTCTGGGGAGGAACTCGTTCCCTGCCATACAGTCGTACCCAGCCCAGGGACGTTCAAGGAAAAAAAAGTTGCCGAGTCCCTCAACCTTGGTCCCAGTCCTCAGTCCCCACCCCTGATCCTGGGCTGAGAAATGAGCACCAGGAGGATCGGGACCAGGCCATTCCTGGGGATCCCACAATGAATCCCTGCCACCGAGCAATCTCAGTGCATCCAGTTGTTGGGGTTTGCTAATATTTTGTTGATTTTTGCATTAATATTCATCAAAGATATTGGCCTGTAACTAACTTACTTTTTTTTTTTTTGTAGTGTCTTTCTGATTTTGGTATCAGGGTGGTGATGACTTCACAGAATGACTTTGGGAGTGTTCCCTCCTCTTCAGTCTTTTGGAAGAGTTTGAGAAGGGTCAAAGTAAGTTCTTTGCATGTTTGGTAGAATTCCCCAGTGAAGCCGTCCAGTTCTGGACTTTTGTTCTCAGGGAGTTTTTTGTTTTTGTTTTTGAATATATATTCTATTTCACTTCTAGTGATTGGTCTGTTCAAATTATGTTTCTTTTTGACTCAATTTTGGCAGGCCGTATATTTCTACAAACATTTCTTCTAGGTTGTCCAGTTTGTTGGCATGTAACTTGTTCATAGCATTCACTTACGATTTTTTTTTTATTTCTGCAGTATCAGTTGTTATTTCTTTCATTTCCTATTTTGTTTATTTGGGTTTTCTCTCTTTTCTCCATGGTGAGCTTGGCTAGAGAGTTGTTGATTTTTATTTCTTTTCAAAAAACCAGCCCTTAGTTTGATCTTTTCTATTGCTTTTTAAATATCTTTTTATTTCCTCCTTTCTGCTGACTTTGGATTTTATTTGTTCTTTGTCTAATTCTTTTTAGTAGTAGGTTAGGTGGTCGGAGATTTTTCGTGTCTCTTTAGGAAGGCCTGCATCGCTCGGAACGTCCCTCCTAGGACTGCTTGCGCTGCATCTCACAGATTCTGTGTGGCTGTGTTTTCATTGTTGGTTGTCTTGAAGTATTTTCTGATTTCCTCTGGTTCGGTCATTGATAACAGTGGTTTCTTTAGTACCATGTTGTTTATCTCCATGCGATTTTTCTTCCATTTCTTTTTTTGTGTGATTGCTTTCTAGTTTCATAAAGTTACGGTCAGAAAAGATGCTTTAAATAATTTCCATCCTCTTAAATTTGTCAAGGCTTGTTTTGTGTCCGAGTATGTGGTCTATCGCAGAAAATGTTCCCTGTGTGCTTGGAAAGAATGTGTATTCTGGTTTTCTGGACCTAGTCCCCTATAGATGTCAGTCAGTTAAACCCATTTAATTATGTCATTTAGGATCTCTGTTGCCTTACTGGTTTTCTGTCTGGAAGATCTGCCCACTGTTGCCTGTGGCTGTTAAAGTCACCTACTGTTCTATTCTTGTCAGTTTTCCCTTTCATGTTTGTTAGTATTTGTTTTACGTTATTTAGGTGCTGCTATGTTGGGTGCATATGTTAATGAGCATAATATCTTCTTCTCATATTGATCCTTTTATTATATAACATCTTTTTGGTCTTTTTTAAATGGTCTTTGTTTTAAAGTCTATTTGTCTAATGTGAGTATTGCTACTCCTGCTTTTTTTTTTTTTTTACAATTACAGCATTTTTTAAAAAAATGAAATACAATCACTTAAAATTTGTCAGTTTCTGGTGTACAGCACAATGTCCTAGGCATGAATATACATACAAGTATTTGCTACCCTTGCTTTCTTATTTCCATTTGCTTGAAATTTCTTTTTCCATCCCTTCACTTTCAGTCTGTGAGCGTTTCACCCTAAAGTGAGTCTCTTGTAGGCAGCACATTGTAGGCTGCTTTTTTATCCAGTCTTCCACTGGATGTCTTTTGATCAGAGCATTTAGTTCCTTGACATTTAAAGTAATTATTCAAACTCTCAATTTATCCCTTCCCACAAATAGCATATGATACTACTTGTATGTGGACTCTAGAAAGAAAAAAAGACGCAAATGAACTTATTTATGAAACAGAAACAGATTCACAGACATAGAAAAGAAACTTATGGTTACCAAAACGGGGTGGAGAGGGATAAATTGGGAGTTTGAGATCTGTAGATACTACTCTATAAAATACACAAACGGCAAGTTTCTTATGTAGAGCACAGGGAACTATATTCAATATCTTTTAGTAACCTATAATGAAAAAGAATATGAAAACAAATATATGTATGACTGAAACATTATGCTGTAAACCAGAAACTGATACACTGTAAATGGACTACACTTCAATTTTTAAAAATGGAAGTAATAACCAATATGTATTTATTGCCATTTTAAATTTTGTTTTCTAGTTGATTTTGTAGTTTTGTTCATTTTTAATTCTTCCTTTTGTGATTTGACTTTGTTCCTTCCTTTTTGTATTATCTACGTTATTTGTAAATTCGAGTAATTGTATACTGTACGTTATTTGTGTATTCCTTTCCTTTTGTATTACACTTGAGTTCCTTTCATTTTGTTTTTTGTGAACCTACTGAATGCTTTTGATTTGTGGTTATCCTAGTTTTCAAGTATGTTAACACATATCATTTCATTTTTTTTTCACTTGTCTTTCTGTCTGCTGTGGACTGGGTGAGTTCCATCATTCTGTCTTCCAGCTCACTTATTCAGTCTTCTGCATCATTTCATCTGCTATTCACTGCTTCTAGACTGGTTTTTCACTTCAGCAACAGAGCTGTCTAATTGTTACTGGTTCCTCTTTATAGTTTCTACTTCCTTGTTACAGTGAATTGCGTTTCTATCGATAGCCTTTCTTAATTCCTTCAGTATTTTTATCACATCCTTTTTGAACTCAGGATCAGCAGACTGATGAGGTCTGTTTCATTATTCATTCTTTCAGGGGATTTCTCTTGCTCTTTTAATTAGGAGTAGTTCCCCTGCTTACTCATTTTACTTAGCTTCCTCTGTCTCTATGAATTTAGGAGAAACAATTATCTCCTGTGGTCCTGAAGGTCAGCTTTTACGTGGGAACATCCCTGGGTAGATTGTGTGAGTCCGATATTTCTGGTCTGAAGGCTGTTTTTGGTATGCCAACTACGCCCTTCCTCAGAGTGTGCTGGCTGTTGTCGCCATGAGAGGGGGTGTGTTTGGTGTCGCGGTGACCAGAGCCTGCACTGGGATGTTGGGTGGGGCCGCCCTGTCTGTGGCCACGTCCTTGAGTCTACGGTTCACAATAGCTGTGAAAACGTGTGAGAGAGCAGGTGAATGAGCATTACAGACGTTGTTGTGATAACTGACGCTGGCTGCTACCAGAGTAATGATGCCTTAAGGATGCTTGTTATTTCCACACAAGTGAGTGTCAACTGGGAGCTCACAGTGTACAAACGAACCCATGGAAATCAATGGAACTGCATCTTCAAGTTCACCATGGAGGGTATTTTTTCCAGGAAAGACGCAATCAGGATTCTACATGGAATCAAGGTGAAGGCTTCTGCTGCTGTGACAAGAAGCACTCTCCTCTGGGTCCCTCGAGTCCTTGGGGAGGGTGGGTCTTTGCCAAGCCCCCAACCTACCTGAGGGGCAGACTGTGAGCCCTGGCTGGGGCGGTGGAAATCGGAGTCTGCCCTTGCCTTACATCCC